TTTTACAATTTATTGTTCTTATTTTCAAATTACTTACATATGATATGCTTTTGTTCAACCAGGTTTTTGTGGGAAATATTATTTAAAACGTTTTCTGCCGAAATTTTATGACAACTTTCCCAACATGTCCAATGTTCAGACTGAATCTTAATGACATTGTGAGTAGTATTTATGGCTGTAGGATGACAATGACCAAGGTTCTAGTAGCAATTCTTTAAAAGTCTCAGTTCAGGTTCCTTATTTGCTTACAATTTTTTAAAACCTAATTTTGATAGATTCTATAAACTGCTTCAATTCTACTTTCTGGATGTATCGAGTCAATTTCTGAGTTCTATAATTATATTCATCATTACAAAACGAGTTCTGTATCTTGCTTTTTATAAAATATCCGAATTCTATTTGGGTTTCCTGGATGATCTAACTTAATGTCAGACTGCATCGTAGTCTGATGAAACTAGCCCTAATTCTCCCATTCACACTTGTCTCGAGATACTATTTGCTTGCATTTGTCTAACAAGCCACATTCTGAGAGTTTCTTTAAATAAACTTGAAAACACTTAATTCTTGATGCATAATCCTTGCAATATTTTGTTCAATTTTTCAGTTTGTTCATTTATATTACGAGCTTTTGTTTTGCTGCGTTTTCGAGTTGAATATTTATTATTCAAGACAGCTTCTGCTGGAATCTTAAGACGACCTTTTAAACTAAGCCCTAATTATCTCATTCCGAGGGCTATTCTAATTATAGCCTACGATTGCAATATTTTGTTCATAGTTTCTATTTGGTCATTTACATTACGAGCTTTTGTTTTGCTGCGTTTTCGAGTAAAATATTTATTATTCAAGACAGGTTCTGCTGGAATCTTAAGTCGACCTTTCAAACATGTCCAGTATTGTGACTGGATCTCGATGACGTTCCAAATACAATTTATAGCTGTAGGATCTGCTGCAGATAATACCAACGGTGGTAAAGGTTCTCTCAAAGGTCCTTGTGGCTGTGCCCCAAACATTCTAAATAAGGTTTGGGTAATGAACCAGCACCAATTCTCTAATGATGGTTGCAGTTTGGCTTCACTTTTTTTTTTCCTTCTCTTATTATAATTATTTTATTCATTGATGCTGCTCTCCACCTTCTAAATAAGGTTTGGGTAATGAACCAGCTCCAATTCTCTAATGATGGTTGCAGTTTGGCTGCACTTTTTTTTTCCTTCTCTTACTAAAATTATTTTATATTCCTTGATGCTGCTCTCCAAGCATTCTAAATAAGGTTTGGGTAATGAACCAGCTCCAATTCTCTGATGGTTGCAGTTTGGCTGCACTTTTTTTTCTTATTAATTATTTTGTATTTCTTGATGCTGCTCACCAAACATTCTAAATAAGGTTTGGGTAATGAACCAGCTCCAATTCTCTAATGATGGTTGCAGTTTGGCTGCACTTTTTTTTTGCTTCTCTTACTAAAATTATTTTATATTCCTTGATGCTGCTCTCCAAACATTCTAAATAAGGTTTGGGTAATGAACCAGCTCCAATTCTCTGATGGTTGCAGTTTGGCTGCACTTTTTTTTCTTATTAATTATTTTGTATTTCTTGATGCTGCTCACCAAACATTCTAAATAAGGTTTGGGTAATGAACCAGCTCCAATTCTCTAATGATGGTTGCAGTTTGGCTGCACTTTTTTTTCTTATTAATTATTTTGTATTCCTTGATGCTGCTCTCCAAACATTCTAAATAAGGTTTGGGTAATGAACCAGCACCAATTCTCTAATAATGGTTGAAGTTCTGAATAGAATTTATAGCTATAGGATCTACGGCAGATAATGTCAACGATGGTAAAGGTTCTCCCAACGAGGCTTTTATACACATTACCATACAATACGCTGTGGATGATAAATTATATCTGCCTTCTAAAATTATAACTGTTTTACTATTTCCCAGTAATGTTAGCATATGCGTCATATGACCAGCTGTAACAAATCCAGCTGATATAATTACCAACTCAGGATTGAATTCATATGCTATAGGTATACGAATTTGCTGAAAAGCCATTATATATTCAGCATCTTTCATGCCTTTTTTTGTTTCATGGTATGTTGACATTGAATACTTTGGCACCATCACCACCTATGTCAGTGTAATTACCAGCAGAACCTCTTGAGAAGAAATTACCATTATTGTATCAATGTAATGATGTGTACAGAACTTTTTCAGTATTGTAAAAGGCATTCTGAATTCCATTACCATGGTGTACATCCCAATCTACAATTAAAATTTTTTTTAAATTATAATTTTTGATGACATACTTTGCACATATTGCTGCATTATTGAATATGCAAAATCCATGCTTCTGCATGATGACCTGGTGGTCTTACAATGCAAATGCCACTTCGATAATGTTTTAAAAGAATTTCATCTGCCACTGCTAATATCGAACTTGCTGCTATACTAGCGCTTTCAAATGTGTAGTTGCTTAAATAAATTGACTGCAACTTTTTTTCTTCCATAATTAGTTTTTTCGAATTCATTGTTGCAGTGTTCCAAACGTTTTGAATATGTTGTGGAGAATGAACTAGCAGCAATTCTCTAATGGTTACTATTCGAGACCCTATTTGTTTGCAATTTTGTAATAAGCCAAATTCTGAAAGTTTTTTATAAACTGTCTCAATCCTATTGGGATTTTCTGGATGATCAGAGTTCATGTCTGTGTGTTTCAGCATTTTATCATCATATACGAAACAGGTTCTGTAATTTGGTACAGTAAAATCAGTTATTTCGCGTAATTTTTGTAACCTTTGACCAACGTTTTCTAAATGTGATTTTGTTTGAACTATATATGTATTCCGTGTAGGATATTCAGTAACAGTTACCATGTTTTCCTCAGATTTTACTGTTACCATGTGCCTTAGACTTTCACTGTTGTCAGTTATATCCTCATCCACATGATATACATCATAATAATCAAAACATTTCCAAAATGTTTTATGAGTATATATACAATTTCTAATAGTCCATAAGAGACAACTTAGGCTCAGAAATTGTAGTCAAACACGGTTTGGGGTCTCCAAGTAAAGCCCGTATGGTCATAGCTGCACTTTCACCTGATGACTGTAAACAATAGCCGCTTTCAAGAACTACTGCCACTTTGCCACTATTCATAGACATTAAACTGCCAATTAAGTGTGCGTAATATATCGGAGATGCATTCATCTCGCCCGCAGGACATCCTTTTGCTGCATCACATCTTGATGAAACTAGCACTAATTCAGGATTATATTTAAATGCTACTGGCAGCAGCACTTGATGGAATATTTGCAAGTATTCTGAATCTCTCATCCCGATTTCATTCAGGGGTATATTGAAATTATAACCTAGACCTCTGCTACACCCTAATTGTCAAATTCTGACTCGCGTAAGCAGGGCCAAAATTCTCCATATTCAAATCGATGTATAGAGAAATACACAACTCTTGGGTTGTCATAAAACATTCTCTGTGTAGCTCGGCCATGGTGGACATCCCAATCGACAATATGTATTCTTTTCAAATTTTCATCATTCAATTGATGTTCAGCAGCAATAGCAACATTATTTAAAAAGCAGTATCAAGAATATTCAGATTCCATAGCGTGGTGGCCAGGAGGTCGAATAAGCGCCATACCATTTTATACTTTGTTTGAAAGTATACTGTCTAAAAGTTCTATAGCTGATGATTCATAAGTTTTTGGGTGGAAATACACTGAATCAAATTTAGAATTATTTTTCTCGAGTTCATCAATGTCCCTCACCTGACAAACATTTTTCAAAAATTCGGTGTGTTTGGTGGAATGTTTTAATTCAATTAAATGCTGAATGAGCTGGTTTTGATCTTAGTCTTAAATATCGATCAAGTGAGCCCATATCCTTACATTTTTCTATAATTACTTTCAAGCGTTCGGGACGTTCTTGGTGGGTTTCGTCCCACAGACACTTATGCTCAAAAAGCAATTCTTCGAAAACAACTCCTGTTTCTGATTTCTTGCTCATATTTTTCACACACTTCTTTCTGTTGCAAGTGAGTTTTTCTAGCGCCTTCATTTTAGCCTGACGCGGATGTTTTGAATTCAGCGTACTTTCTAATTCAGCGATTCTCTAATAAAGGTTGCAGTTTGGCTGCACTTTTTTCCTTCTCTTATTAATTATTTTGTATTCCTTGAAGCTGCTCTCCAAACATTCTAAATGCTACTGTTTCAATCTGTTTATGAAGGAACCTTTATAATCATTTGTTAGTATTGTAGAAGAAAACTAGAAGAAATGAGTTTGTTAATTAAAAATAGGTGAGTTTCTATCTCACGAACTAAATAAATAAATAATTTATGTATCAATTAAGCTTATTCAATTACCTCAAACAATTTTTACCTTTAAATTGGTGTTATTGTTTTTACATACTACCAAGCTTTTGTAACGCCAAAAGCTTGGCTCGCCGCGGTGGCGGTTTTGTATGTTCTTCAGGTTCACTAGAAATAATTCTAATTTAGAATTATTATAATTCAATATAAAAATTCTCTAATAATGCTTGCAGTTTGGCTGCACTTTTTTTCTTATTAATGATTCTGTGTTCCTTGATGCTACTCTCCAAATATTCTAAATAAGGTTTGGGTAATGAACAACCAGTACAAATTTTCTAATAATGATTGCAGTTTGGCTGCACTTTTTTACTCGTAACTCTCAGTAAATCATTGTTATTGTACTCCGCTCTTTCGGTCTTCCTATTATCCTCATTTTTTAATTTCTGTATTATTTGAGTCTTTTCTTCACAACAGAATCTATATAGATTGAAAAAAAAAACGTTTATAATACGATTCAAAAATATCCTTGAAATTTTGAAAAAATTGTTTGATAAAAGCTCACCTGCTCCAGCGCTACACACGTTTTCTAATCTTCTGCGGCAGTGGTAGCACAATTTATCATTCGGCATTAGAAACTCAATTTCTTTCAGAAGTGTTTTTGAAGGATTTTGTAAGTTTTGTCGATTTCTTTTCTTACGTATGACCCTTTTTTTCCTTCTCTTACAAAATTATTTTATATTCCTTGATGCTGCTCTCCAAACATTCCAAATAAGGTTTGGGTAATGAACCAGCACCAATTCTCTAATAATGGTTGACGTTCTGAATAGAATTTATAGCTATAGGATCTACGGCAAATAATGTCAACGATGGCAAAGGTTCTCTCAACGAGGCTTTTGTACACATTACCATACAATACGCTGTTGATAAATTATATCCGCCTTCTAGTATTATAATTGTTTTACTATTTCCCAGTAATGTTAGCATGTGCGTCATATGACCATAGGCTTCAAGTGACACCTTGCAACCTCCCAAGGGATCACCAGCAGCTGCATCAAATCCAGCTGATATAATTACCAACTCAGGATTGAATTCATATGCTATAGGTATAGGAATTTGCTGAAAAGCCATTATATATTCAGCATCTTTCATGCCTTTTTTTGTTTCATGGTATGTTGACGTTGAATACTTTGGCACCATCACCACCTATGTCAGTGTAATTACCAGCAGAACCTCTTGAGAAGAAATTACCATTATCGTATCAATGTAATGATATGTACAGAACTTTTTCAGTATTGTAAAAGGCATTTTGAATTCCATTACCATGGTGTACATCCCAATCTACAGTTAAAACTTTAAATTATAATTTTTATGACATAGTTTGCAAATATTGCCGCATTACTGAATATGCAGAATCCATGCTTCTGCATGATGACCTGGTGGTCTTACAATACAAATTCCATTTTGACAATGTTTGAAAAGAGTTTCATCTGCCACTACTAATATCGAACCTGCTGCTATACTAGCGCTTTCAAATGTGTAGTTGCTTAAAAAAATTGTCTGCAACTTTTTTTCTTCCGTAATTAGTTTTTTGGGATTCATTATTATGAATCCCAGTTGCAGTGTTCCAAACGTTTTGAATATGTTGTGGAGAATGAACTAGCAGCAAGTCTCTAATGATTACTGTTCGGGACAATATTTGCTTGCAATTTTGTAATAAGCCAAATTCTGGAAGTTTTTCATGAACTTTTGTCCTTCTCTTGTTAATTATTTTGTCTTCCTTGATGCTGGTCTCCAAACATTCTAAATAAGGTTTGGGTAATGAACCAGCACCAATTCTCTAATAATGGTTGCAGTTTGGCTGCTCTGTTTTTCTTTTCTTATTTTGTATTGAAGTGTTTTTGAAGAATTTCCTAAATTTTTTCTGTATATTTTCTTCGCATGACCTTTTTCATTGAAAGGGTTGCTGCAAGTACATATGAATTTTTTTCCTGTTACTTCCATTTCAATAATACTTGTAGGAGCTAAAACACCTAGTAAAATTAACTGGAAGTAATGACTGATTTCCTCGAATGCCACTCACAGATGATGCTCAATATTGTAGACCATGATTATCTGTATGAAATAAATTTAACTTGTAATGAAACAGTAATGTCACGCTATAGCCTATAGGTGTGATCTAAGTTTATAATTAATATAATATATGAACAAAGAATGTTCGTTCTATTATCATGGACAACTTTTGTTAATGCTCCTGTGTTCTTAGATTAAGATTCGAATGTTCAAGGATATTAGACTAATACAGTTTAATGATTTATCTTAGCTTTTTCTCCCAGGTGGACTAAAAAATTACACGGTCCACATAGACTGATTTTGGCCAAATATCCAGAGATTATATTCTTTCCAGTTTGATCTCCCTTGAAAGAAACAAAAGTTTCTGGTTTTGATGTCATTTTCTCACATTCGATGTCTTTTCTGGCAACGGATGACGAGCATATCATGTATATTTATATATACATATGTATATATATATATATATACTCGTATATATATAATATAGGTTATGACTACCATGTATTTTAATGTTACAACATATAATGTTCTTGTATTATATTTTTATTAGTATTAATATTATTATTATGTTACAAATAAATGCATTGTGAAATACAATTTACTTATTTTTACTTTTTGTCAATTTTTCAGAAAAAGAATTTTCAAAGATTTCAAAATTACTAAAAATCTTTCAGGATACAAGGGTATGTATGTTTTTAGAACGCAAATTACTAGTATTAACATTCTAGTACCTTTTAATCCATACAGAATCCATTTATTTTAATTGTAATTTATCATATCTAAATATATCTAATTTAGTTCTCTTTTTCAGTTGAATTGGCAGAATTTCTACAAAATATTGTTTGAATTTTTACCACCTTATGCATAATGAGGAAAATGTTGAATAAATCAATGGATGAACAATTATGTTTTAATCTAGATTTGGAGGTATAAAATTTAATGTTATTATAATCAAGATTATATCAGTTATAACGAAAACTTCTTAATCCTTTCAGAAATAAATAGAACGTATATATGTTAGTTTTATACTAATTCATAATAAACAATTAAAATCTTCAACTTTATATTTTGACTAAAACAACTAAAACAGAAATTATCATATTGAACTTTATTTAGATTCTAAAATAAATGACTCTTATAAAGAAAAGTAATACAATACAGTGTTTGAAAAGTTTTAAAAGCATATTTCCAACTCATTAGAAGTTGCCAACTAGTTACAAATTGTTACAAAATCTTTTACAAAAAACCTTATTTTAACTATTTTTAATTTGTTGTTATTAATATCAATTATGAAGACCTTATTAAGTTATAGTCTATACTTTGAATGCATATAAAATATAGTTGTGATTTTAGTATTTTAAAAAGCAATATGAGTGTTTACTCATATGAAAGATTATTTATGTCATTGCTCTAAATTTGATATATGCACATTATGCATATACTATATTATACATTGTATAATATAATATAATTTTATCCTATTGGAACATACAATCAAATTTACTGCATTCAAATATACATAATTCAAACTTTCATTATTTTCATTTGCAATGTGAGTAATAATTAATTTGAATTTGAATCTGACTTGTTAACGGTCATAATTTTCAATTGCATATAACTTCATGCTTGTTATTGTTAGGCTGACAGTTGACACTTGTAATATTTTCTTTCAACTCGTTAGTTTTGAATAAATACTTTTAAACCAAAATAGGTTTATTTGAAAGTTATAACACGAATATAATATGCATCATAGAATGTATTTAAATTTTATACTATAATTATTACATACAAGTGAGAAGTTTTTGGAATTTGGAAAATAACCATACAAAAACAGCATGAAAGAAATACATGGCACATAAAAGGTATAAATTCTTCATGTAATCATTAATTTGATGATAAATAAAAATAATTACGATTATAAACCATTGCTATTAAATCTTTGTATCATTCATATCACTGATACAACCATTATGTTTATTAATCTATGAATATAACCTAGCTTTTATAATCAACGAACGACTTCAAAATGTTGAGAAAGGACAGATAATACAGATAATACAATTCTTCGCAACACATTTCAAATAGTATGGAGTCAAACATAAAGTTTGCATCATTTGAACTAATTACTTTAGCATTCACAATAATTTTACAATATACTAATAGTATATCTTGAAGTCGTTGATAAATGTAAAACTTGAATTTACATATATTATGTTGTTCGAGGTATTTGAATAAAAACTATACAAAATTAATAGTGCAACAAACCTCAATCCCTTAGTAAAATAAAATTACTCTAAATAATTTAATATGCTTGATAATAGTATGAACTAATTAACTCTCTTCGATCCAGATATACCCAATGGGCGAAGTTTAATTCGCCCTTTCTCTTTCCATATAACGCAGGTCAATTAACACAGTTCTTGCAAATCTGTACATGGCGTTCCAAGCAGCTTCAGTTGTCAGCATCACTTTGAGAACAGTATCTGGAGTAATTCTTTGGCTCAATATCTCTTCTACAACGTCCTGTAGAGCACTAAATTGCGGGCACACGAAGAACACATGCTCAGCATCTTTGATTTTGCCCAAACAATATGGACAATCCTGCGAGCTATCGTGCTAGAAGTGAATGCTGTGACATCCCACAGTTGTTGCCATCGGTCAAAGTTGTTCTGCTGTTCTCCTATTTTTACCTTTTCAGGACTCAGTTGTTGATATCTTTGATGGTAATTTGTCCCTCTTTCCTCTGTTAAGACTAAGAGAGGCAGAGTTCCTGAAATGACGCATACTGCTTCTTCCAATATTGTGCGAAATGTGCAAGCAACTCTTAAAGCGAACTCGGACGATATATAGTTCCTGCGATTTTCCGCGATTTTTGATTTTTGAGAGCATCAGTCCATGTGGAGGTAACATATGTAAGCACCAAAGTTACCACTGATAATAGTAATATCCTTCTGGTTTGTTTAGGGCCTCCAGCATTAGGTATCAGTTGAGCTAGTCTCGTCTTAACTACTGACATCTTACCACTAACATGTTCCACCTGTTGATTGAAATTCAATCGAGCATCAATTATTATGCCAAGGTAACGGATATGAGGTTTTGACGTTTTTTGATCTCTAGATTTCCTATCTTCAGCTTCATGGTCGCTAAGAACAGCGTCACTTTTTTGTTGTGTTAATTGGACTTACATTGTTCTCATCTAGTGATTAATTTTTCCCAAGGTTATGTTAAATGGACTCACGATCTCATCAATTTGTTTGGAGACAACTACTATGGCTACATCGTCTGCATATGCTACTAGTTTGACACATGCTGGAATCTCCAGTTTCAAAAGGCCATCATCATGAAGACATATGTTTTAGTATCTGTATGATTTAGAATAAACATTCAAATGCATTCATTACTTACCTGTGTTTATCAATTATGATTTGGTGGTTCTGCAGGAGATGCTAAGATATATACTTTGAGGGAGTTACATAAGGCCAGATTTACAAATGGCACCACCGCAATTAAGTGTTCTTTTAAATACATTAATGCTGTGTGCCATTGTTTGCCAAAACCAAAAGTTAACTGATACATCTAAATAAATCTAATATTGTTCTATCTTGTAGTTCAATTTAACAGAATTTCTACAAATCATTATCAAGATTATTCCATAACTGTTTACCATCTCATAAATAAAGAAAATGTTAAATACATATTTATCACTGGATAAACAAAAGAGTTTTAGAGAGTAATTTGAAGGTATAACATATGATTAATAGGATTGAGATTATAATATTAGATATAAATAAGACTATTTAATTACTATAGAAAAATAGCATTTGTGGTAGCTATATTGGTACATCTAAATATAATGTTATTTTTATACTAAATATAACAATATACAAATTGTTATATATAACAAATGTTTCATAATAAACTGAACAGAACATGATTTTTAACTTTTGTTTGATTCTGAATAAAATAATAAACAAAACTCTCAATGTTTCCAACTCCTTCAGATTTTGTTCATATTTCTACTATTTAGAAGTGATAAAAACAGGTTTATAAAAACATATCACACTTTATTGAAATTACAATGACGATCATAGTTTTTTATGCTTTCGTTTTGTCAGCTTTGCTTTTATCAGTACAGGGACATTCTCCGAGAGAAACATGAGGACTTTCAGTTGGTCTTCCAGCTTTGTTCTTAATATCCTCCTCGACTTTTGCCTTTCCTATGGACGTATTTGAACGTGCAGCAGCTAATGCTTTTGTTTTCATATTTTGAGTTTTTAAAGGCCTCGCACACTTTTTTTCTGCTTTTTTATCGGCCGCTACAAACTCTTCGGACTGGTAAAAAAATAATAAAAACAGTTATTGAATGAAATAGCAGAATATTACAAAATTGTACAAAAATGCGTTGAGAGGCGTTGAGAGTATTTATATCAAATACTTGATTGTAGGAAAAGGATTACCACTTTTGTTAAAGAATTTTATGTTCCATGAAACTGTGTTAATTAGTTTTTGACAGAGGCAGGTCCAGCCATTTTGGAGATACATACTGATTCGTTTTAGGTAAAGACAACCGTTCCAGAGATAGGGGAGTACAATGTTAAAAAATAGCAGTTTATGAGAGAACGGAGCATCTGATTAGAATGATTTAAAAAGCATGATTTGTTTTTGGGGGAAGACAAGTCTTGCGGTTTCAAAATTATCAAAATTAGAAAAAAAATGAAAATTTTTGAATCAAAATTATTAACTTTGCGTAGGGTAGGTTATTGTAATCGTTCAAAAATCGAAATTGAAAATTTTTACATTTCTTCACGTTTTGAAGGTTTCTGAATATTTTGGCAAACCCCAGAAAAATAAATGTGTGTGTGTATGTATGCATGGATACAATTTTTCGTCCAATCAACCGATTTGAATGGTTTAAAAAGCATTTGATTCCTATTGATAGGGAGATGTGTCCATTAATTTTTGGGCAAAGGGAGGTCCAGCCATTTTTGGGATACGGAGCAAAGAGTGCACGAAATAGAAATCGAGTTTTTGAGAGAATGGAGCATCCGATTTGAATGATCCGAAAAACATTCAATTCGTAATGATGGGGAGATGCGCTGATTAGTTTTTGGCAAAGGCAGGTCTAGCCGTTTCAGAGATACCAAGCTAAATGTGCAATAAATGGCAGATGGTTTTTGAAAGAATAAACATCAGATATGAAGGATTCAAAAAACTTTTTGCTTGTGTTTGCGAAATGATTGCTTTGGTATTTTTTTTTTATTTCCAAAAAAATTTTTGGAAGTTCTTACTATTTTTATAAATATTAGACATTGTCCTTCATTTTAAATTTGATTTATTAAGTTTTGTTTATTTAGTTTTTTATCTATTTGAAAACATTTAATATTCCTCGAATATTTCATCACACTACGGGAAGTTCTGGTAATTTGCCTAATGGTAGTTAACTAATAGTTTTATTTTAATGTCAAAAATGATTTGCATTTTAATATTCAAATACTTAGAAATATTCGGTAAGGTTCTCTTCTAACATATGATCAAATATGAGATAAGGTCTTAATTGGCTTCACGTATGTTTAATTATAGTATGGAGAGCCACAGAAATTTGCCTTGCCTCAGCCCCAAAATTGTTATTAGTTGTGTTATTTATTGTAATTTAGATCTCTACCATATTTGTAAAATATTTAAATTATATTATACCTCATACCTGTTTAATATTTTTCAAAACTATCTCCGGTACTTTCCAGATGAAAATGCTACCGGAGGCACTGCAACTGACAATGAACCTCGAGTCCGGAGAAATCGCAACAGCCGTGATGGATGATGTGTGACCACAGCCTATGAAACTGCATGTACCATCCATGTAATCCCAGAGCTTTGAAAATGATTCATTTAGAAGGATTTAATGAGGAAATTACATTAAAAGGTATGTTACAGTCTTTTAATATATAATTTATATATTGTGTGATAGCCTGGATCAAGCAATAATACAAATGGAAATCATACTTTTGAAGATAATTAACTTCCCGAAGGGGAAGTTTATGTTTTCATCGAACAATCCGATTCGCTAATTTTATGTTTTCTCGACGTTTCAAGCCATTCTGAATCGAAAAAAAAACAAATTCGAAAAATGTATGTGTGTCTGTGTACAGATTTTTAACCGTAAATCGACGTTTTTGCAGAAACAGCTGGACCGATTTCAAAAATTTAAAAGCCATTTGATGTATTTTGATAAGGACTAGCGTTTATCAATTTTGCGTGACGATCAGCCGTTTCTTTGTAAATAGCAGAAAAGTTAAAAAATTTCGTCCACGTTTTAGCCCGCAATTCTGAATCGATTTTGAAAATTCGAAAACCGTTCGAAAGATATTGGTTGGGAATCGTGCTGATTAGTTTTTGGTAAAGATCGGCCGGGCCGTTTTCTTGCAATAAAGTGTTAAAAAAAATTTTCGACGATTTTTATGATTTTTTTTTTTGACGGGAGATAACATAGTCTTATAGATCATACTAAAACATTACGGTCCTACGACAAGTCGTTTAATTTTAAAAATTCGTCAAAGTTTGCAAAAATTAGTATCGTTCTTTTCGCGTTTTCCAAAATTAGACCTTTCATGGACGTTTGCTCAAAAACGCCTGAATCGATTTCAGAAATTTATATTGACACCCTAAAGTTGTTACAAAACCTACATATGGTATTGACACCTTACCATTTGTAGGTTTTGAGACAACTTTAGGGTGTCAATATACAAGTATTTACAGACTTACAGCTGGGTATCTCGAATTCCGAGATTCTTACCTAATTTAAGCTTAAATGACTGGACTATTTGATGTATCTCAGTGAGGATTATCAATTCTCATTTTTGCGCGATGATCGGCCGAGCCGTTTCTTTGTAATTTGGAAGAAAGTGTTAAACTTTTCGTCCACATTTAAGCTCATACTACGGAAATTATTTTAAAAAATTAAAATCTGTTCGAAAGATATTAGTTAAGAATGATACTGATTAGTTTTAGGTAAAAATCTACCGAGCCGTTTTCAAGTAATTAACTGTTGAAAAAAAAAACTAAGCCGACTTTTATGGAACTTTTTTTGGCGATATATATCATTGTCTTATAGAACTTACTGAAATATTACGGTTTTATAACAAGTAGTTTAATTTTAAAAATTCATAAAACTTTGCGAAAATTAGTAGTTTTTTTGAAGTTTGTTAAAATTAAAATTAGACAATTTACTTGGTATAATGATAGAGTACACGGGTCTCAATGAACATACTAAACCATTGAAGTGCTACGCAAACTTGTTCAATTATGAAAATTATTGATTTTTGAAAATTTGCTTTTAGAAAATACCCCGAGTGATGAACGTGTTCGTTCGTTTTCAATTATGTGTAATAAATCTACTCGGAATACTTTTAATCACTCATAAATTAATTTATTTTTTATTAATTAAGTAGATTATTTACACATATCGGGAAGTTCATGTAACTTGCCTCAAGGCAAAATACCAATACCAACCAGTTTTATTATGGCTAAGTCATTCAATTGGTTGCCATTAGTGCCAATATAATTATATACTTAGTTCTACTTATAAATCGTACACTATTGGTTTCTATTGCAATCATTAGGACAGTTGTTTTTTTGTAATTTCGAAAAAAAAGTGTTAAACTTTTCGTCCACATTTAAGCTCATACATAAAAAAAAGTATCAGAGCTTTATGTGTATTGTGTTAAAAAAAATCAAAATCTATTCATATTTCCTTTACTACCTTGACAATTTGATCATTCGACCCAGTGGCAAACAGTTCTCCTCCCATGGAAATGCAAACAGTGTTGATCGCCCCCGATGCAGAGGCTCTCAACTCTCTCACCATCGATCCATCGAGTGCCTCCCAATAGACAACTCTTTTGTCTGCACTTCCAGTCAGCAATTGAACTGCTGTCGGGTAATATCGGACGCAGGTGAAGAGGGTGTTGGCGAAGAGCACTATTTTGCGAACCATCCGTCTGGAAAATAATAAAGTCAATAATTAATTAATTCATTAGATCAGTATGGTATTGTAGGTAGACATATGTTCTTATCAAAGACTTGTCTATCTTTCTCTTGAGTTTCAGATTGATTGATATGGTAACCAATACTATTTGTCAATTTTATGATCAACACATCTTATTCTTTTGTTTTTATTTCAGATTTATGAATATATTTATGAATAATATTATTTGTGTTCATTTTGATGTTTTAGGGTATAGATTCCCAAACTTGTTTGTGTCGTGGATCCCTTGCTTGGTCGTGGCTTTGTCATGGACCTCCTATTTAGCCTATATCGATTTTTCCATAAATTTCTACTAACTACTTTCCATAAATTTGTACTAACGTTTAGTATTAAACATTTAAAGTAGTTATTCATTAATTACTTGAAAAAATAAATATTAACTATGTGTGTTATAATCCACTATCGTGGGTGCCTAGAATTTCTTTTCACTGGTATGGAGCCCTTGAAAGTTGTCATGGACCCCTGAATGTCCATATTGACCACTTTGGGAATCACTGTTTTAGAGCTTCTTAGTGTCAATACTTATCATTATTTTTCTTTACATAAATGTAGCTGAAACATCAAATTATCTTTTTTGTACTTTTATACAAAGTCGTGTATAAAGGTTATGGGCGTATTTCCATACAGAATTGGCCCCACCCTGGTATTTAAATAATTTTGATTTTATAGGTATTTTCGAGAAAATTCGGAATACCAAATTTCAAATCCGTAGCTCATCATTTGGCCGAGATATCGGTGAAAGCATGTGAAAGTGGCCCCTTTTTTCAAACTCACTTTTTGTGGGAAATATGAGAGATATCGAAAAAATGTTAACGTCATTATATTTATACTGATCTTGTCTATGTTGTTCATAATAAATAATGTGAAAAAATTATTTGTTAGTGCGTGAAAAGGTGAAAATGATTTTTCATTGTCCATTTTTTACCAGTGCTGCTTTTTGGACTACTTTATTATATATATTATTATATATATTAGCATCATTCGAAAGCCTGAACATTTTTCTTCTGTTATTCAAAAATTCGTTAGATAGATCTGGATAGATCGATAGATGAGGAATTCTGAGAGCAAGTATGATACAAATATATTGATACCTTGAAATTTATTGTTAACTTTTCGTAGGTTAAGTTATAGTAAACACAAAAAAATATTAAATGACATTTTTTATATATCTACGTTTCAAAGGTTTTTGAACCATTTGACGTACCTTAGTAAAAATGGACGTATGTATGTGTGTGTGTGCGGATACAAATTTTCGTCGACGATTTCGAGACGACGTTTCGATAATACGAGGCAAAAAGTGTCAAAAATGGTAATTCAGTTTTTGAGATAACCGAGTGTCTCATTTCAATAATTCAAACATTTTATTTGTACTGTTTTTGTAGATGCAATAAAAAAGCAAAAAAAAAACGACAAAAATAATTATTAAACGTATGCACATCAAATTATTAGATATTTTGTTATATTTCTATGGGTTCCATACCAATTCTCTAAAAAAAATAATGTTTTTTTGAAAATGTTAATTTTCAGTACAGGAATTTGCCTTTTGGCACGATGCCATGCACCACCAGTTTTTTCACAACGAAGGAAATGTGTTTGGTATGAATGTCTGGGTATGTCGGGCTCGCTTAGGCTTATCTCTTACTTCTTGTTCCCATAAAAAGCGCCGTTACATAATAGGGGAAGGCTCTAGAATTCTATGATTCCCAATCTTAATTAAATTTCCGTCCTAATTGATCCTATTCTAGTCCAGTCATTTAAGCTTAAATTAATTTGTAAATACTTGTATATTGACACTCTAAAAGTTGGCTCAAAACCTAAATATGGTAGGGTGTACACAACATATGTAGGTTTTGAGACAACTTTCAAGGTGCTATTATTAGGGTATTTACAGACTTACAGCAGGGTATCTCGAATTTCGAGGTGAACTTACTATAATGACTGGACTATTCGATCTTCTCCTTTTCGAAGATCAAAACTTTGGTAACGAATGTGTCTCTTTGATTGTGTGTGTATGTATGTGCAGATGCAAAATTTCGTCATTACATTACTATGATTGCTTACATCAAGTCCCAAATAATAACAGTTCCATCTGTACTCGAACTGGCAGCTTCAGAATCGAAGCAATTGATGTGCAGTGAAGTCACAGGTCCTGCATGCTCCTTAAAAATTATCTCCATATTTTGATGGGTTGGATACAGTGCCCACACCCGAACCTAATAGACAGAATATTCAGATTAAATATTCTTTCACAAAAAGTAATGGTCAGTGATAAAAATAGCAGTTACTGTAAGCTGAATCTAAGACTTTGTGTGCCAATATTAATATTGATTTTTTTTTTAATTTCTTACTTGTCCTTCACATCCTCCAGTAATCAAACGTTTATCATCAGATGTGATTGCCAGACATGAGACACCTTTATTATGGGCATTTGTGATGGACCACATTAATTTTCCAGTTAATGGTGTAAAAGCTCTCACAATACCGTCATTCCAACCTGGTAAAAAAATTAATAAACTAGAATAATCAGAATGTTGTTCTGATCAAACCATATTTTCAGAGTAGGCCACTGAATTTATCAGTGAGGATTTTACTATTTAAATGTCTATTTTTTTACATTTCACCTGTGATTATAGCTTTTCCACTATAAGTAAACGTTAAGCTTGAGCAATAAAAATTTTCATGCTTGATTCTCAATAATTCTTGTTTTTTGTCCATTGACCAAATGCGTACATCTCCTTTGGAAGCAGTTGCGAATACACCACTGTATTTCCTAAAAATGAAAAAATCAACTTTACATTTTTTTTTGGACTTGAAATAATGTTATAAAAATATTATTTTTTACGTATTTTTATCAAATGAATTAATTTATTAATAACGAAGTGATTTATGACATCATGATAGAGGAACGTTAGTAAACAAATTAATATTTCTTCATGTTTTCCCAAAATATTCTAGGTAATTTTCAAAAACTGTATCAGTTTTCGTTTAAATTATATTCTTTTGTTTGGTGAAAGAGAAGTAATTGATAATGTGTAAATGATGGGCATTTTGCTTGTAATTGAAAGTAAGTGATTTAATTTTTATTTCACTCAGATAATTCTGAATCCATTTTACAAGTTCTAAATTATTCCAAAATCTGTCAATTGGAAACCGTATCAGTTTTGTGCAAATGTGAGAGGAACCAATATTTCTTAGGCTATAGCTATTTTTATCTTGGTTTTATTTTGGATATTTATTAAATGTTTAGGTTTGATATTATTGTATTACGTAGTCTTAAATGGAACCAATTCTTCAGCTAAATTTCTTTGGTCAATTTTGGACATTCAAAACCTGATCGGTATCTATCAATTCATGATGAAGACTTAATTTTTTTTGCTATCTAAGGCAATTACCACTTACTTTAATTTATTTAAAATTCCTATAAATTTTGGATTAATTTTGCTCACCAAGGAAATACACAAGCAAATATAGCTGCTGTGTGGCTGTTATCAGTTTCGGAAATTCAAAATCTAATCGGTATATATCAATTCATATAGACTCAATTGTTTTCGCTATCTAAGTATTTAACTAACTATATTTAACTATATTTATTTACATTTTTTCTCAATTTTGGATTAATTTTGCTCACCAAGGAAATACACAAGCAAATATAGCTGCTGTGTGGCACGTTGTCTTCAATTTGAGATCAAAATTCTCCAAATCGATGGTGAAAATCTCGCTCTGATTCGTTGCAACTAGCAACTGTTTCTCATCAAAGGTCACCATCGATGTCACCATTGCAAAAACATTGGTACGTTTTATCTGAAATGAAAATTAAAGTATTATGTGCTTCAATTTTCGAATTTATCCAAGAGGATCCAATTTATTGTTGAATTCATCTTTGTGGACTATCATCTCCTGAGAGCACTTGACAAGGACAGTTTGTTTAATTGTATAATTAATTCTAAATAGTTTTACAAACAACATTCGATTGTGTTTTAAAATTTTCTTTCAATGATAAAAAATATTCTCCAACACTAATTGATAAAATTTTGTTCCCAAGATTTGACGATCTAGGTCCTGAAACTGACAAAGGTATTAGTAGTTGCTTTGCGTGTAGTTTGTCGAAATCCACTATAGTTGCTCAATCTGACAATTGATATTTCAATAATTACATGATTCAAAAAAGATCAATTATATTATATTTATATTTCTGGATAGAAGTAGAAGTGCAAATGTACCCCAACACACTCAAGAACTGCGCATCCTTAAACCCGCGCAATTTTTGAATGTGCAAGTGCACATTTGCACAAGGTTCTTGCCTAAAACTATAATACAAAATTTTTCAATTAGTAAAATAGCTAATTAGTAACTTAAGAAGGTGGAAATTGATTTACCTTTTTGAAGTTGGGTGTCGTTGGTCGTGTCAATTTTCCTGTTTCGTGTTTTTCATCTGGTATGTCACGTTCTACAACTAAATCTATGGTTCCATCTCCTGCACCGATGAGCAAACTACCATCGTGCAGTAGAAGCAATGCTTGGACACCTAAAATAAAAAAAAAAAAACAAATTTTGGTTAAATTGAAGCTATTTTACTCCAAATATGAAATTTTCTATTAACTACAAATTTGCAAAACATTTTTTTGGAAGTTCGGAAAAAATAGTTACAGAAAGAATATTTATTAGTACATAGGTTATATAGAGGAGTACATATATCATTTTAGCGATTTGTGGATAATCTAATATAACTCCTTCGTTGCTTATTGATTAACATTTTTTGGATCTATCAATGATGTTTTTTTAAGATCAAGTCCATTAATAATTGTGGAATTCTACTCACCCATACTGTAGAGTTCAACATCCTGGCCTTTGGTTTTCTTTCCATTGAACAAACCATAACATCCAATGATTACTGGCACTTTTGGACAATCTAAAATCTGAAAATAGTACCAAAAAAATTGACGTTTCAATTCGAAATTGCTCAACAAAAATCTAATTAATAGAAATTCCAATTATTTCATTATATCACTTAATCGTATGATGGTGAACACTTTGATTTATGATTTTTTTTTTCAATAAAAAAAGAGTGAAATTGTAGAAGAAAATTTATGAAATAAGGTTGAAGTGACAAATTTGGAAGGATCAATATTTTTTGATGATATTTTTATTTTATTATTTCTAGAATTTTATAATTTAATACAATAATCAAAATACGTTAGTATATCACTTTATGTCTGATACATGACTGATACTAGCAAAATAAGAATCATTGGTGCTTTGGTAAATAATTTAAGTAGATAAACATCATTGTTCTATGAACAAACGATATCATTTTTAGTCAGTAAATAACAATTGTTATTTTAATGTCAGTTTTATTTGTTGATTTATAAAACTCAATGGCATAAGGTTTCAATTGTGATTAAAGATAAACTACACTAAATTAACACGTTTGCGGACGTGAATGCTATAGCATTCATTCTGCATCACAATGAAAATGAATGCCTTTTACTTCATAATAAACTTAAAAGGTTTGATATCGAGAAGTTCGTAAAATTAAATGTTTCAAAAAAGGGCTACTAGTTTTGTTAGTTATTTCTAATTACCTCTGTGTCATAATGATAATTAAAACGAATCTTGACAATATCTCCACTAGTGGTTCCACAATATCCATACTCGTCTCTGCTATTTCCAACAATACAAGTATAAATTCGTTTCAATTTGCCGCAATTTACTTCAACAAATCTGGCGTCATATTTTTCTGGGTAAATCGCCCATAGACGAAGAGTACCTGGAAATAGAATATAACCAAAATTCTTATCATATTCTATACTTTATAAAAAAACTTTTGATCTAGTTCTAAGTAGACAAAACAAATGATTTAGGTAAAAAGATTTGGTTCTAAGGTACTCTATATCTTTATATGTATTCAATATTCATACACGTAAAAGATGTTTTATTCCCTAGGACCTTTCAAAAAATAATCAATTCCAGGCAATGCGTTACCTAATTTAACCACCGGTGGGTATGCAGTTTTTCAAGAGTTAAATAATTAAATTAAATAATAAATTATTCATTTTTTTACCATCTCCACATGTGATGAAACATCGTCCTCGTCTATAAACAGCCGAACATCCATAACAATCTCCTGCAGTAATTTTGGCAGCTGCTCCATTATAAATCGTACTTCTGCCTCCAATGTCCCAAACGTTAATTGTTCCATCATCACGGCCTCCAATTGTTATTAAGTAATTTTCGTCTCCTGTAAATCTACATATTTCTACACGAACCTGGGAAAAAAAGAAATATATTTGAAGCATTTAAAATTTCTAGTCTTATTTACTCAAGTAGTAGTAGTAAAAGTGTTATTTTTACTACTTCCAATAAATGACTACTTATTTGTTCATCTCTTTTTTTGCAAATGTTGCAAAAGATTATAATGGTATTATTTTGGAAATTTATAAATAATTAGATATTTTTATCTCAAGTTTTGTTTCATCATTTTTTAGAAATTATTAATAATAAACCCTAATTGTTTATTATTAATATTATATCAAAACACTTTACTCAATATAAAATTATGCAAACTAAAATTGTGCTTAACACGTCAATCGTGTATGTCTGATAATATCGGTTTTATATGTTGCACATAAAAAATAGTGCTTTCCTGGAATTTTGTCCAAAAAAAATCCTGAAAAGTTGCCTTAGAGCATTTTTAACTAATTTATCTAATAAAATTACAATGGCCCAAGTGATTTTTTTCTGATATCGTGGCTATTAACGTGATAATAATTTAATATATTTATTTTATGATTTTATGAGTTCTTTACTTTGTGTAATTCCTGTTTGGTAATAATGGTTCTTTCATAAAAGTCCCAAATTATGAAGCACGCCTTGAAGCCCATATGATTCAACTGGCCACTTGCGACATATTTTCCGGATCTGTGAACCAAAAAATATTATAAATTTTTTTATTAGTTCAAAATTTAATTACTATGTTAATTTTATTACCTTGAGAGATCTAAGGAACATACTAAATTTGTGTGGCCTGATAAAAAATGTTGTTCCTTGGTGCGCCAATTTTGAATAGAAACTTTGTTGCCAATGGCGTAGACTATATGAACCAAATCAGGATGAACCAAAAGACCTGATCTGATGTTTCCTGAAATAAATTTATTACATAAAAAATAATTTATAACTAATGGTGCATTGGTCCATTGGAACTTCTCATACCACAATTTGAAAATTTGAAACATTAAGATTTTTAAAAATTTTGGAAGCAAAGAAAAATAAAATTTGAATTTTTTGAAAATTTTGAATTTTTTGGATCATTTTTCAAAAACTTTGATAATATTGATTAAAATGGCCGGTTTAAATTTTTTTGAAAAATTTGAAAATTATGTATTGAAAATACTGGCTTAAAATTTTTTAACTTGTTGGAAAGAAATTTCTTTAGAAAACTGAATTTTTTGGATTTTTTGAAAATTTTGATATTTTTTGAAAGTTTGTGATACCCATTCATGTCGGTTGATCTATACTGTTAAAATATCTAATTTTTGTCTGCCAAATGGCATTATTTTATACTTTTTTTCTGGATCTCTGAAACCATTGGGCCTTCCTTTATAAAAATTTAATCAATTCTTATTTTGTCATGTGTTCTTTAAGACTATTATAAAATAACATTTGGCTTCTTCATATTGAACATCCTTAATAATTTATAAGATTTAAAAGCATCAATGAAAAATATAATTTGGGATCGACGGAGCATATAATTGTTAAACAATTTTTATTGAATTAAATTAAATATACAAAAAAAAACATCTTAGCTAAAGGTATTAAATAAATATTTACTAAGAATATAATATGTTTTTGCAACTACGGCAAGTTGTTAAAGTAGATTCATTATATTTTTATATTAGTTTTATTAAATTAAATTATTAAATTATTTTAAACTTCAACTTACCATCAAATGCGATTATCGCTTCAGCTTCTAAAAACGAAACATCTCCTTCACCACATTGCATGTTTAATAATTTTTTATATAAAATAAAATTACATGTAGTAGAAAATATTTATTAAATCCTTTATCAAAAATATATTTACTCTGTATTCAAAATATAAAATCAAATCTGACAAATGTCTTTTTCACTTGTTTATTTGAACGAATCGTTGGATGTCATGGATACTGGTCTTGGGTAAATCTCCCCTTCGAATGAATTTTTTTCTAGTAAATTTTTTAGGGCTGGTTTTATGAGCATATTAGTATTTAAAATACAGAAAAATATTTTTGTAAATATTTACAATAGTAAATATTTACAAAGATAGGTTTACTTGAGTGCCAATTTTTTTAAATTATGTGGAAAAATTTTAAATATGCTTTGACATTTAACATAAACCCATACATTCTTCAGTTCTTCACTAATTTTTATTAATTAATAATTTAACTCGTGAGAAATAAATATTAAGATTACATTTTTTATCAATTAGAACATTTTTTATGAAAACTGCTGAATAAATTTTTTTAACCCTTATTTTAATAAATGAATAATAGCAATTGAATCTAATACAGTTGTTTATTTACTAAGACTGTTTTTCATAAATGATTTTACTTAAGTACTCTCCTATATTATACAAAAGCTTTAAAAATATCTAAATTTTAGATCTGGTCGTAAGTCCAGTTATCTCAATTCTTGAATATTTCTTAATTTTCACCATTTTCTGAAGAATAAAAAGTAGCAACACTCCAACAGGCTCAAAACTGATGCTCCGAAAAACAAGCTAATTATTCCTCCAATAGATACTGAAATTATTTGTTACAAAAATTAATTTTTCATTATTTAACATATAGTATATTTTTTATAATATAGTATATAGTATATTTTTTTACCAACAAGATCCAAAGTTGTTCTGACAATTTTTCTTGCATAACGTAATGTAGGTAAGGCTTGTAATTTTATTTCAACTTCTATTCCTTCAATTTCCTCAGAAGATCTGCATATTTATAAGCAAACAACATAACAATAATAAAAAAAAAATCAAAATAGCTAAAAATATATGATTATAGCTATTTAAATTTATAGCTAATATAACAATCTTCTGTATATATAAAAATAAATCGGGTTTTCCTTCCTGACGATTTAACTCCAGAACGCGCGAACCGATTTCGACAATTTTGCATTCTTTGGAAAGGTCTCGGGCTCCGCAAGGTTTATAGCTAAGCAAATTAGTGGTGCATGGCATCGTGCCCTAATGCAAATTGCTGGAACTTCACGTACCGTAATTAAAAATTCGAGTAATGACATTAGTGAGAATTATCAGAATTATGCTTGGTTAAGTCAACGAGCAATTTTTTCCGCCAAGAAATATGATGTACACGCACTGAATTTTACCATTCAATCAAAAATTGCTGGCGATTTGGTGACATACCAATGATTCCGACTGGTCTTTCGTTTGACTTCAAACGATTGCAATTTTCAGTTCGCCTTGCGTTCGCAATGACAATTGGAAAACCATTTGCTTTGTTTGTGTTAACGTCAGACCAAAAAACAAAAAATGTGGTTTACCAAAGAGCACCTCAATGAAACGGATAATTTGCAGATTCACTTTCATTGACTTAGAGAAGTTCAACTAAAAACACTTCATTTTTGTAATCGAAATAAATTCATTACTGTTGTATAATAAAATCAAATTTTTCCTTTTCAAATATAAAACAAACCAAAAAATTATTCATCTATCTCACGAAACCATCTGGTGGCGAAACGGAGTTCGTCGGGTTTGCTAGTTACTTATAAACAGTATAAATCTTAATTTCAAACTAACTAGCTCTTGCATTGTATGGCTATAACTACTATAATCTCGGAAAATTATTTATTATTTTTTTATTGAAAAATAGGAAAGTAGTAAAATAACTACTTACTCATGGTAGCTATGTATAATGTTATAATCAGATTCAGTGCACGACGGTTCACAATCACATTTTACTCCAAGCAATTTATCTAAAATCATTATCCGTGGATATGGATAAATTAGAGGTTAAACTTAAAATTGGTAATTCATTGGTATTAAAATAATTTTGAAACAAAAATAAAAATTTTTACCTTCATTTTCTGTTAAACATGTCAAACCCTTGAGATCACAGTAGAATTCCGCATCTGAAACAAAATTAATATTGATCAAAACCACCATAAAATTTTTGATTATTGTTTTTTTACTTACAGACTTCTGGCATCAAATGATGTGTACAGTTGCACAATTGAAGTTGTTCCTCCAATCTACATTGGACCATGCAGACACTGTGACTGTAATATTGATAAGCCTTCAAGGAATTTGTGTCTTCATCAGGAAATCTGCAACCCCGGCGGTCAACTGGTAGACCCAGAAGAGCTGGGTCGTTGTCGATTTCGATCACCTGGGAAAAATAAGGTCAGAAATTATTTATATTTTTCTTACAATCAATTTCAATTATAAAAAGATAATTGAAAATTCACATTGTTATATCTTTACGTTTTAAGATATTGTGATCGTTTTGACCTGTCTTAGAAAGATATGGTCTCTGGTGGCATGGATGTAATACTTGTAAAAACCTGCCAAATTTTTTAAAGAACTGAGATTTACCAAAAATAGATTGTATACAATTATGAGCTTGCTTCACTACTTAAATTATAAATCTATAATTTTGAGTAAGTTGACTTAAAAAGCTGAACTGATATGGTTCACATCACATCTACATTAGTTTTCGTTTTCATCATATAAGTTGCCTAAATACGTCCCAAATATTTTATCGAAAGAAGATCAAAATGTTAAATTATTAATAAACATTACCAAGATTTATAGAGCAATTTTGGCTCATAGAGCTCATAAAATAGAGTTGTCATGGCAACGGTCTATTATGCTTGTTCTTGGTATTGAAAATTATGAAAATGCTTATTTATTTGCTGTGCGATAAGGTATATTTTACATATAAACAAGCATGGAAGAATCTTATGATAACTGCACCATCTACAATTCTGTTATCATATCATTTTTCATAAGAGAGCGTTGCCATGACAACGCTATTTTATGATCTCTGTTACGCCAAAATTGCCACCTTAGATTAAAATTTACATTACCAACTTTTGATTTTTTACCGTGAAAATTTTGGTAACTTTTGAACCCCAGAATACTAATTCCTTAAAATCACTGTCAATGTTATAAAATGGAACGTCTTCGGGAGCATGGAAAAATACCTAAAAATTAATAAATATTAAATTATTTTTATTATCAACATTATTGTAATATTTATGATAAACAGTTACTTACTTTAATATCATCTTTTGTGCGAAAAACTAATCTTCCTGGACCACTTGAACGATTGGACATTAGTAGATTGTCATTGTTTCTGGTAAAAAATGTTTAATGTATTTAATGAACTAAAGTGTATATTATTACAAATTATTTATTTTGTTATAAGCCTAATTATGATTTTGATTTCATTGTTCTCAGATAAAATTCTAATTTAGATAAATCTATTGATCTATCTATTATTCTTCTTAGTCCTAATTCTTCTAACTCAACTAATCGAATTCTGTAATTTAGACTTATTTTTATTTCTCAAGATTCAATTGCAATCTGTTTTTAAAAGACAAAAAAAAATAGTAGTTATTAATGACAATATATAATGTTATGACCAAAATAGAGTTTACCCATTGGTATCCCCTTTTGTGTTGATTAATTTTGAATCTAACGATTTTTAAAAATTTTTCAATGCTAGGACTCGAACTGAGTACCCATAGCGTGTGAGTCGTACACGCTACTGCCTGAGCTATGTCACCACATAAATTTAATCACCGAATAATGCGTAAATTAATTTACCTGGTATGAACCGAATTAATGGCGTAACATATCCCAAATTCGGTTTCCAAAGGCAAAAATTTATCGCAACATGAAAACTCTACTCCATTCCAAGAACAATACTCGAACATCATTGCGCAATTTGCACGAATCTAAAATAATATTAATTTTATATATACTAAGGGACTGATTCTGCCGTATAACAGAAAAATGTTATGGCAAGGCCATGTTTCGCTCCAACTTGCACACATGATGCTACTGAATCATACTGAATACTGTCAAAATATAATGTATTTAATATGCATTCAGGCGTTTTACACATAAACTTTCAAACGTCACTATTATGTTATGAAGCTGAGTCAGAAAGGCCCTGTTATCTAAGATCGTTTTTTTGACATTTGTGCGGTTTGTGAATTTTAGTATGGAAAGTTTGTCATAATATAGCCTTGCCATAACATTGGTCTGTTGTGCGAGAGAATCTGTCCATAAATAAATGTGAGTTTTTATTTAATTTAACAAAAAGCGCCTAAATGTCAGCATAAGATCAAAATTGATCCGTGGGCTGGTTGCACAGTTTTAAGGCGTTTGTTAAGATTTTTTTCGAATAGTAATTGTTAAAAAAAATTAAACCAGATTGAGCACCTTCTTTGTTATTCCTCTAAAATCTTGCGAACAATTGTATGTATCACAAGTTCTCAAACATGCGATGCAGTTTCCAGTAAAATATGCTATATAGGCCAAATAATTATCAAAAGTTGTGTCTCTTTCGCTTCCAAAAGCCCTAAAAATAATAATAGTAGTAAAATTTCATACAAGTGCAATGGTACAAAATAAAATGAATCAATTATTATTATTGCCTGTCGATCAAATCCCATTGATTTTCTCCATTGGCATCCTCGCAAACGGTTATTGCTGGAAATTTTGTATTCCAATCCAAGTAACTTGTATCAGCTGTAAAACTTACTGCATGTTGTCTAAATTAAAAGAAATAATTTAATTGAAAATTTGGGTGTTTATATAAATTTATGATGTACTAGAATAACACCATATTATATATGTACACTTGTACAGTACTTAACGACATACATATTTCTGATCCTGATATTCTAGTATGTAAAATATGTTAATTGATGATTTTTGTCATATTGACGATGTTCGGTAATTTTAAAGATCATTTTTAATTCTGTCTTAAAAATTTTCACACTCAATTATAAAAAATAATTTACTTGCTTTATTGATTTGTATAAAAATCAGGGCCATTGATTTTTTATATTATTTAAAATATGTCAATACTTTTCAAGTTCATGTATTTTCAATATATTAGTATCAGTTAATTAGTTTAAAAATGTTTCTAACCTGAAACTCTGAAAAGCTCCTCTGAAAATTATAAAAACTCCATAAATGGATGCTGTGCATAGACCCAACCATACTATCCTAAAACGAAACATAGTTTTTACTTCAAAATTTATTCTTAGAATATTCATTCCCAAATAATTATGAATAATAATTGATTGTTAATAAATTAACTTTCTAAATTAAAATATAATTTAATACCTGTCAATTTGTGATAATTCAAAGCCATTGATATATTTTAAACCATGTATGCTTGAACAATCACAATAATAATTCAATCTTTTTCTTAACAAACTCAATTTTTCCAAAATCATTGCAAAAAAGTTGTATCTATTAAAATTTTGTTTAATCTTTAGTTATAATATATTTGTTTATTTCTTTAGTGATAATATTCAAATTTAAATGATTTTTACATTTTGGATGCACTATTACTCTTGAAATTGAAATTTTAATATAGCAGATAAATTTTCTATTTTATCAAAAAATATCGTGTTATGATTCAAATAAAAGTAGTTATCTTATTTTTTGCATCGATATATCGATGCATATATTTTTTAAAGCATATGAAATTATATTTTGCATTAATCTTATGCAGGGATGTGCAACCTTTTTGAACCATTTGTTATCGTAAGAAAACTACTAAAAAAATTTCACGATAAAAATTGAAACTAAAGATCTATGTTTCATCGTCGGTGTTTTAGTGAAAGTTTCATTTATAAATCATCTTATTCTAATATTCTTAAATTATAAATAAAAACTTTGAAAACAAATTGTTGCATTTAAAGTTCATTTTATATATTTATCAGACTTTATATCAATATTGTTGTTATTATAATTGTTTTATTATAAATTAGCTCTTCAACTCATACAATACGAATAGTTCGATGATTATAAATAAATAAAATACATTTATATTATAAATTATACGAGTTATTAGTATGTATTTAAAAGCAACAAAAGTTCCATTAATAATCAAATAAAATTAAATCGATTGAGTTAACTGCCCCTGCCAATCATCAAGGTTTTCCATTAGTATATCACAAAAGATGCTTTTATCGAAAATGTAATTTGCCAATAATCATTATATCAAATCTAGATATCTATATTTTGTATTATCTGCTCCACATTTTGCAAATAATTTTATTGGCGAGATAAATAATAATTTGTAATTAAATATTGAGGTTCGCATATTTTGATATATTTTGCATAATCTAGATGCACAAATTTATTTTTTTGATGATATAAATCTGTTGGTATAAGATATATTAATAAAGGAAAAATTCTCACAAATATTATAATAATCATGAGTAAGACCGAGTTTTGAAAAATTCAAAGTTGTTCACTTTTTTCAATTATGTATGTTATTTAGAGGTGAAATTTCTAAATTGAATTTACGATTTAAAAAAAAACTGTATATTAATTCCTCAAGAATCAGTTACAAAGAAGCTGTTCGAATGATATGTACACAATATCAGTATTTATTTATTTATTAAGGAGGCCTCTATTAATCACGTGATCGTTTTTTAAGGATTTTTGGACTCCTCTTTCCCTTGGTGATACTTGATGATATTCAAAATCACCCCCCTCTCTCCCCCACCAAACATTATATGTATTTTTATGAAAAAAAATTGTGATACGTACACAATATCAATATTTATTTATTTATTAAAGAGGAGTCCTTCAATCACGTGATCGATTTTTTAAGGATTTTTGGACCCTCTTTTCCTCTTGGTGTTACGTGGTGCTATTTACCTTCACCAAACATTACGTGTATTTTTACGAGTTACGAGAAAAAGTCGAATTTTTTTTTAAAAATGTTTGGTATTTTTTAAAAAAATCAAGTAAATAATAAATACACGTAATAAATACACCCCTCCCTACCTCACGTTATGTGAATTTTTGTTACACTCTCTCCCTAAAAACCTCTCGTGATTAATGAACGCCCCAACGTGGATTCCGAACAATTTAGTCAAAAAAATCCCAAAATAATCACATGATGGGAGGGGCGTCTAGTAAGATATCAAGTGTATTTATTTTTTACCTGTGTTTTAAAAAATATAGACAATTTTTCAAAATGGCGGTCCAAAAATCCTTAAAAATTTATAACGTGATCAATGTACGGCTCTTTTGATGAAACTCGATAAATCTGATGTTGAGACGATCAGCCCAGTTTTTTCTTCAGAATTTGAAAAAAATTGCCAAATAGTTTGTCCATCATTCTTGACTTATTTTGATTATTCAAAAAATATTTGAAAGATATCAGTTGGAAATCAGTTGACCTATAAATCGACATCTACAACCACACAAGTACCTGTAATCGGATTACACTTCGTCAAAAATCAAAACAGTTCCAAATCAGACGACAACACAACATAGTCGTTGTCACAACTGTGGATATATCAGAAATAAATTTATAACTAACTTTGAAATAAAAAAATCATATATTGAATTAAATCACATGATTTGGCCAAGTTTTATATTTAAAAAAATATACAAATAGATTTGAAACATATATTCTACGACTTGGAATTTTCCTAACAGATTTTGGACATTGCTTCGAAACGTGGATGAATCATTATATCGTAAACTGTTAACAAAGAAACTGCTTTTATATTCAAATACAGTTCTTATAGATTAAAATTATCAATAAATTTAATTATTACCAATCATAAAATAGATAAAATCAACATTGTCGTCTGTCTACAATTTAATTTTACTTATACAAGCATTATTCTAATCGGATAACACTTCGTCCAAAATCAAAACAGTTCCAAATCAAACGACAACATAACATTGTCGTCGTCACAACTGAGAACCAGAAATAAATTTAATAAAAATATCAGAATTGTATTTATTTCATTATCATTTGTTGAAGACGTATCTAGACTTGGTGCCGGGTTAAATGGACCAAAAATCAGTAATAAAGTCATCAAAACGATATCAAATAAATTCGTGCTTAAACGCGGAGTATGTGAATAAATATTGTAATATCTAATAATTAATTTTATTAAAAATATTATTAAATATGGTGGATCATAGTGAATTAACTCCTTTGATAAGAAGACGTCGAAATACCCAGAAGCCCCGTGGTTTTCTCCAGTCTTGTGAGTGCTTATCAATCTTATCATTTTGATTAAATTAATATTTTTATTAGATATGATTATTGAGGTATTTTTTGATAAGGTTTGTTAGAGGCGCGTAAGTAAGTAATTCGTGTGAATACCTTATCAAATTATTATTTTTTTTGTTTGCCGTTATCTTTATAAAAACAGTAGATATGTGCTTAAAATCTTTGTTTTATCGTAGTTTGTATTGTACTTTGGATTTATCGAATCTGTGATAATGAACACAAAAGTGTGTGTGAGAGTTTATGATACAGTAATCGAGGTTTTTTGCAAGTAATTTGCAAATAGATAATAAAACAGATGTTAATTGTATTGTATTTTTTGGTACTGCTTCTAGCATAGAATAATTCGTAAACCTTAACTGAATATTGAAGCATATAATTGTTTTGTACTGTGGTATAATTCAGTATTAACTTTCAAAAAATGCAAAAATTTGCGTCAATGTTTTTGCTTTAAACCGTAAGCTAATTTTTAAAGTTTCTCGAAAAATATTTGTGACTTGTAAACATTTCATAGTCGTTTTGTAAGAGACTTAAGTTTCAATTCTTATTAACTCAATTATTGTATGCAACTTGTCTTAAGGCGAAATGCTGCTCACACGTAATTTAACATTTTATATTACCCAGTTATATTTGTGCATAAAATGTGTTATTTTCACAAATAATCATTATTTTGTCGATTCGGACCCAAGGTCAATAATAAACAACACTGGTTCTTTCTCAAAAGAACCATTTACAGTTACCCTACCTAGGTACTTTGTACAAGTAATCCAGTAGTTCCCAATTTTTTTTTTTTGGTTTTAAGCCCTTCTTAAAAATGATTGTGGCTTCTTTTTATATTGGCCTCAATCAAATGAGTTATTTAGCTATTGTACCACCTTATTCATTAGAAAGTGTAAAACTCGGTATCAAGCAGTATGATATCAAATTTTAACTTGACAATTGAAAATGGCCTTTATTGGACATTGCCTAAAGAAAAGTTCAACCTTCTTGAAAAATTTGGTATTTTTATATTTCGATTTTTTTCGATAATTCTGAACTTTTTTTAAAGCAATCGTGCTGCTTTTGACAAAAACTAATCAGCACGTCCCCTCAATCAAATGCTTTTTGTTTTCAATATTCAAATAGGTTGATCCCGAAATTGTCGACGAAAATTTGTATCCGCATACACACAAATATCAATTTTTCCTATGTTATGCCAAAATGCCCAGAAACCTCTGAAACGTAAAATTACACAAATTACACCCCCTATCTCACCAAACATTACGTGTATTTTTAGTTACGAGAAAAAATGGTGAAATTTTTGATTTTTTTTATGTATTGATTTTTATTTATAAATTCAGGTAGAAAAATAAATACACGTGATATCTTACTATACCCTTACTACCCTTACTATACTATATTTTTGAAAATTCTAAAAACCTCACGTGATTAATGGACGCTCCCTAATTTAAACACGTACAATATATCAGTCAGTATATAAAAGAATTACATTTTTATAAACCCAAATTAAATAACGTAATGTTATTATCTACGCATTTTTTTAAATTAATAAAAAAATCAAGTTTATCAAAAACTCGATTTTTTTAATTTTTAAAAATTTCAGAAAAGATTCAAGTTTTTTTGAAAACTCTTTATGATGTTTAACCCTAGAACGGTATATGCATGCACGCCTCCGAAACGTTCATGCATACAAGAATTAATGGTGTTTGTACTAAATAAAAAGACTATTTGTTACTAAACCAAAGTTTTATATTATCCTAAATAACCTATGATGATATCACAATATGGCAAAAGTATACAATGGCAAAAGACGGAAAAATCACTTGATAAGCACAATACCGTTTTAGGGTTAAAAGGATGTTATAAATTTAAAGATTAATATAGCTAAAAACTATTCTAATATTTGTTTATTGGTAAGGTGACCATATTTTGGGGTGTTGGTGAGCTAAAAACTTATATACACAGTTTTTTGGTTTCAATTTTCTAGTTGAAATATATTTTAAAAAATATTGGATATCAAAACATTTTAAAAAATCCGGGATAATCTGGGACAAAACACCTTAATCCGGGACAAACATTGCTTTTAGAAAAAGCCAGGATGCAATGCGGAAAGTCGGGACTGTCCCGGCAAATCCGGGACGTATGGTCACCTTATTATTGGACAATGCCAGACACCAATAGTTATCTTTAATGTAAACAATATTTTTATTAATTATTTTTTTCCATTTACAATCACTATCAGTTATATATAATTTATAAAAAAATTATTTATGCTATGGCATGTTTGAACATTTTGCCAATGTTCCTGTGTTTGCGTTTCCTCTGGGCGACAGTGTCGCGCACGATGTGGTAACCTCCGATGGTAACCGCCTTCGAGTAGACGTCGTAGAAGACCTCATTCGGATCTGTTAACTTAGCTGCAATTACCACTTCCACATGTTTATCCAGCATTTTCTTGGCTTCATCCTCTATCACCTAAAAATGGAAAGAATTATTTGTTAAATAGAAAGTGGTACATGCGAAATTAATCCAGTCATTTAAGCTTAAATTAGGTAAAAATCTCGGAATTTGAGATACCCAGCTGTAAGTCTGTAAATACTTGTATATTGACACCTTAAAAGTTGTCTCAAAACCTACATATGGCAGGGTGTACGCAACATATGTAGGTTTTGAGACAACTTTTAAATGTCAATATACAAGTATTTACAGACTTACAGCTGGGCATCTCGAATTCCGAGGTAAACTTACTATAATGACTGGACTAAATTGTTTAGCTTCTTAATAAAATTCTACTATACTAATATTTTTTATAAAATGTGGAATTTCAGCAATTTTCTTGAGGATAAACAGACGTTGAAAGTCGTATATTTTGAAGGGTATTAGGTAGTAACAAATAGGACATTACGATTTAAAAGTAGGAAAAAAAGACAACAAGAAATCACAAAGAGTCAATGAGATTTAGAGGTCAACCTAATGGAATTGCAATTTTGTTATTGTTTATGAAAGTCTTTCTAAAAATAAAAGTAGGCAATAAAATAATAATGATAAGAAATTATGTAACTTTTCTCTATCTTGCTCAGCTGAATGTAATTATGAAGTGTGATTGTTATAAATGAATCTAATTAATGAATATTGGATTTATTTCTTCGTTGGATTTGTCTGTCTATTACCTTAAAATCTGCTTCAGTTGCTAAATTTGCAGCCAAAACTTTATTTTTAAATTGCATAATTGGATCCCGTGTTTTCCGAACATCTTGAATTTCTTTTCTGGATCTGTAACTTGTTCCTGGATCTGACATCGAATGACCGAAATATCTATGGAAATTAATTATTAGATTTTTTTAATACTTTACTTAAAGACTTATTATTTATATCATCATTCGATTAATTTTATTGATAGTAAAATAATTATAATTAATATTAATGAACTTTTGGAGTGTTGTATGAACGGAATTTGTGAATATCATTATTTTCACTCATGTGAAATATTTTATATGTAGTCTCATTAAAAATATAGCTGCTGCAAAAAAAAACAATTTTACACCATGTGGTCTTAGATGTAATCTTAAATTGAAAATATTGGCATAAAATCACGTTTTTATGCCGATTTTAACATTTTACCGCAACCTGAAGCATTTCATACCACAATGTGTAGCTTATGTAATCCAAAACATATTGTATTTGGTTAAAAAAAACATTTACAACAATAATTTTATGATTTTATATATGCTTTTGTATGCGTATATAAAGTAAAATTGAATGTTTTAGGGACTCCAGTGTATATTGTATGAAGAATGAAAATTTCTCTAAACGTTAATTATAGTTCTTTGATTTGATTTATTACATTTATTTCAAGGTGACGTTTTTTCTAATTTGATGTTTTTTTTCTAATTCAATTTTTTTTATTTTACCTGTATGTATCCAGTTCTAATATAATAGGCCCATGGGTTAAAGCATATTGTCGGGCGAATTTTGTTGCTTCATAAACAGACATTACATCCATTCCATCTACTTTAATGCCCGGAAAATTTATTCCGTGTTTGTAGAATTCCGGATTTGCTGAAGCTCGACTTATATGAGTACCTGGAAAAAAACTAAGTTAAAAAAAATTATTTTTTGATTGTTAAACAAAATTGCCTCATTATTGCAAGGAAAAGTACACATTTTGATGTTTGTGACAAAGATATTCCAAAAACCTTCAAAACTGGAAAAAAATTTTTTTGTGATGATTTTGTTGTACTAATATGATTATTGTTAATACCCAGTACAAGTTAAAGAAGTCAAATTGAATGAATTTTGCATAATCTATTTACATAGATAAAAGCCTATTGGCATTTGACTAGTTTTATTAATTACTTACCCATTGCGTACATATTATTTTCGCAAACATAGACTACTGGCAATTGCCAAAGACTTGCCATGTTGAAGGATTCAAAAACTTGTCCTTGATTAGCAGCTCCATCACCATAGATGGTTAAAACAATCTCTTTTCTTCCTCGATATTTTACAGAAAATGCTACTCCGGTACCCAATGGCACCTAGAATAGAACAAAACCTAAATTATACTTTATTAACAATTTTTCGTAATATAAGTTGAATAACCTATTCGCAATAATAAAAAATTGACAATTTTAGAAGAAAATCATTGTCGTGTAACATATAGATATAATAGGTTATTGGCATATACAGTTTTTTTAACAAAAATTTATTTAATCATTTTTGTTGTAATTATTATACTACAACCGTTATTTTTTAGCTTTATCTACTTACTATAAATGAATTTTTATCTTTAATTTTCATTATTCGATATTCGATAAAGAGCACTTATAGTCCAGTCATTTAAGCTTAAATTAGGTAAGCATCTCGGAATTTGAGATACCCAGCTGTAAGTCTGTAAATATTGTATATTGACACCTAAAAGTTGTCTCAAAACTACATATGGTAGGGTGTACGCAACATATGTAGGTTTTGAGACAACTTTTAGGTGTCAATATTTACGGACTTACAGCTGGGTATCTCGAATTCCCAGGTGAATTACTATAATGACTGGACTATTATTACCAATGTACCTAATATTGTCTGGAGCTGATTTACAGCAATCAGGAAAAATAATTTACAGCATACATTATTTATTCTGATTGCCGTTTTTAAATAATTTTTTTTCAAATCAGTTTCTTCTTTTCAGACAAAAGTTGACACTTATGATAAACAATATTGCTCGATCATCTATCACATTGCAAACTGTATTTTTCGTTTTTTTTTTCAATTAAGAATATTTCTAAATTCTAAATATTTTATCTCACATGACTTCCAACTATGCCGTTGCCCCCAAAAAAATTCTCGGCGTACAAATGCATTGAACCGCCTTTGCCTCGAGAAGCTCCGACTTCTCGACCAGCCAGTTCGCCTAATATTTGGGTTGGTGTTAAGCCCATTAAATAGGCCCATCCATGACATCGGTAGGAGGTCACGACCTTATCATCCTGTACACAAAATCACTATTTTAGAAATTCTTATTTTTATTATTATTGTATGAAGAACGATCAGGGGATAAAAGTAGTATGATCTTCAGATTTATTGATGACACCAAAAACAGTTGTTTCTCGTGTGATAAATTTGTATTATTACAATTTCAGAAATTTTTGATGTTATTTTATTAATGTTGCAATGTTAGGAGAGGATATTTTTACTTCTTTACTTACTTACTTTACTTAACTATGCAATTGCTGCTTGGCATGATGCTGCTCGAGACGGATACTGTATTTAGGACTTCTGAACAAAATCCAGTAGCTCTAATCATTTAGTTTAAAATTTATAAAGAAAACTTAATATATCAAAAAACAAATTTCACTGTCAAAATAACTGGTAAACACAATTTTTCAAGTCGCTTATATTTAACTGGGCATGACCCTAAATTTAAACTATTTAGTCTAGACTCTAGTCTAGAGGTTCGCCTAACTCCAAATCAAGCAGTATGATATAGATTTTACCTGATGTTATAGATTTCAAATATAATCCCTAGTGAAAATAGCATTTCGTGGGCATTGCTACATTACATACTCATGAATACAATTGATATACATATTTAATATATATTGTCTACACATAGAAAAATAGTGGTTGACCACTAGGTTGCTTTTTCTATTGCAAACATGGTTAATATGCAGTTCTGATTGCTGTTCAAAAATATGTGCTTTTAATTAATGATAAAAATATCGATCAAAAATCAGGCTTTAATTACAAAAATATAAAATGAAATTATTTCTTTTATATCGTATAAGCAAATAATTAGATAAAGACCTACTTTGGGATCATAATACTAAGGCCACTAATCAACCTATAAATCAAAGTATCTAGGGCAATAAATAAATTAGACTCGAAGAATCTAATAGTTGTTGAAACAAGTCTAAAGGTTAATATGTACATGCAAAATTTAGTATTTATCAAATTATTGATTAAATACCCCTCTCATGGCCAGTTTCTGGCCCACAGCACAAGCTTCTTGACCAGCATACAAATGTAGAAAACCTCTAATGATCTTTTTCATGTACAAATCGGCAGCCAACATTTCCATTCGGCGAATTTCATACATATCTTTGTATAATTTTAGAGCAAATTCTTGGGTCAAAGTAGCTGTTGTTCCTAATACTTCGTCTATGCCGTGATACTTAAAATGCTGAAATCATAGTAAAAAATATTTGATATAATATTTTTATAAAAAAAATTATTTTAAGCATTGTTTTCCAATTTTGTTGTCAAACGATTTAGAATGGCTTCAAATATTCTCACTGAATTCAATTGCTTTAGCATAGAGTTTGTGTATATGTTTTTAACTTATTCCTAATCTAAACTTATTTACAAGTTCAGACAAAATAAAATTTATCAAAAATCCAGTAAAATAAAACAATTAATTTTTTACTGATTTTTTCACTCAAAAACATTTTTTTCTGTATTTCATTTTTCCTAACTGAGTCCTATTAATAAGTAAAAGTAAGTCCTATTATTTAAACTAAACCTTTAAAGAATTATCATTATTACACATGAAACAACAAATTCATTTATAATTTATCGATTGATTGATTAGAAAATCTATCACCAATAAAATCGTTTTATTGGTATTTCATATCTTTAAATTTGATGGAAATTGCCTAAAAGTCATAAAACTTAATCGGATGCTGTAAATAACCTACATATGACTATTTCTTGCTCAATACATTTGTTACTTTCTATAGGGAGAAAAATCGAGTATAAAATTATTTGTCTTTTTGTTAAAATTAGACTGTAATTTGTTTAATTTCAAAATTAACGCGTGAAGTAAATAAATACACTAGAAAGTATGTAAACTAATAAATGAATAATTTATAATATAATTATCAATATTGAAAATCAATGTGACTTTCAACAATAACAAATTAATATAATAACTTAGCATACATAAGTTTTTATGAAATTAGTCGAACGTTTTAAGATAGTGTTGTGTATAATTATAAATTAAAATTACATTAATATATGTTAAAACTATCATGAAAATATAAGCTTAGCATATAGCTTTGTTTTGTAATTTTAAATTTTTTAACTAGACTTTTATAAAAGTTACAAAAGCTTAAGATGAGAAACTGAAAGAGTGAGCTTTTTTGAGGTTTGCCAATTTGCATTTAATTGGGAAAAGAAACTATTACTACGTTCTAAATGATTATCTTTTTCAAATCAATAAAGAGATTGATTTGTTATTAAAGTTTATGCATATTCCTTTAATAGAAATTGAAAATTTGATTCGATTACTTTAATTTTGATTTTTATGATTTTACAAATTACCTTCAATGGAATTTCAGCTGTATATATCACATTTCTGTTACTGATTTTTAGTGGTAAACTCTGAAACATCTGTAAAAATATATCAGAATTTCAGTTTTGAAATTATTGCAATCATATTAAATTTAAATATTATTACCGGTAGTATAAATCTTTGTTTGAAGCAATGCATGTTTTATCATTTAAAAAATATAAATCTACGTTTGAATTGCTTTATAAAAATATTTTGTTTTGTATTATTGCTGTCATTTCAGAGAAATGAAACATACTCATATAGGTAGATTTTTATTTATAAATATTTATCATCCAAAACTCAAGACATTGGCAAATTATTTTTTTGGTTTCAATATATTATCTTGTATATCAGAAATGAAGTCAAAAATAAAAATAAGTCGTAATGAAATAATAAATAATAGAATTATGAAAAATTTAGTCACAATGCAATAATTTACTTTGAAAATACTTTATTATTTCAATTAATTTCATTTATATTTTAGATTAAAAAAATCCAAAATACTTGTAACCTGACAATTTTTTTTAAATATATTTACCTTTCTTGAAATTAACAAAATATTTTCTTTATATATACATTATAGACAAACTATTCCTTTTTAGTTTTATCGGCATTTTTACCATTTTTATTTCAATAAATACAAAATGAAAAAATGCTTTATATTTTTTTCACACAAATTCTTCCCCATACAATAATTAACTTCCCGTAGGGTAAGTTATAGTAATCGCAAAAAAATCGAAAATGAAAATTTTTATATATCTTTACGTTTCAGAGGTTTCTGAACATTTTGGCATACCTTAGAAAAAATGGATGTATGTGTGTGTGTGTGTGTGTGTGTGTGTGTATGTGTGTGTGTATGTGTGTGTGTATGTATGTATGTGTGTGTATGTATGTGCGGATACAAATTTTCGTCGACGATTTCGGGAACACGGATCAACCGATTTGAATAATTCAAAAAACATTCGATCCGTATTGATAAGGAGACGTGCTGATTAGTTTTTGGCAAAGGCAGGTCAAGCCGTTCCGAAGATACGGGGCAAAAAGTTCCGAAAACGGTAACTCAGTTTTTAAGAGAACGGAGCGTCCGATTTGAATAATTCAAAAAACATTTTATTTGTATTGACAAGATGAAGAATCGATACAACTTTCATAAGGGTAGGTCCAGCGGTTTCGGAGATATAGAGAAAAAAGTAAAAAAATGAGCCATTTGGCGGTCAAAAATGATCATTAGACATATGCACATCAAATTATCAGATATTTTATAGAGATTTTAACAATAAGTATACATTTTGTTAACATTCCTATGGGTTCCGTACCAATGCTTATGCGTTAGACAGCGACGCGGCGCTTACGCGCTTTATATTTTGTCCCTATGTAGTTAAAGCAGTACGATTGCTTTGAAAAAAAAGTTCAGATCTTCTACAATATGTCGAAATAAAGAAAAAAAAATTTTTTTCAAAAAAAATTTTTTTTTTAAAAAAAAAAATTTTTTTTTTTAAATTTTTTTTTTCAAAAAAAACTAATTTTTTGTCCAATTTATAGTTTCTCAAAAATCTTATTTTTTCAAAAATGTTAATCGTTTTTAAAAAAAATAAAAATTTTTGGTACGGGAAGTTCCAGCAATTTGCCTTAAGGCACGATGCCCTAATTGCCTTAAGACAGAATTCCACTTACAGCTAGTTTTTTTTATCACTAAAAAAATTAGTTACAAGGCAATTTATTATAATTGTTGTTAATATTTTTCATTTGTCATCTATTAGGTTGACGTGTTATTTATTACCATAATGAACAATATAAAATAATAACAAAAATAATATAATTAAGACCATAATGCACTGTTTTTAATAATTTATGCAATTGTTCTAAAACGAATCACGACATCAGTCCTTTTCTTGTATTTTAGTTTCCTGTTGTCTCTTTATTAACATGGTATTCATGATATAATTATTTGCCAGACAGAAGTTTTCTGCGGTAATATTAGCTTATTTTTTTAATAGAAATTCTATTTATAAAGATTTTTAAAAGATTTGCCAGTATGATCTTTGAATAAATTTTTAAACATTTGTGAGCTTATTTAAATCGCAAAAGTGCATTTCAGGATCATCTCATCATTTTGCACATCTTTGCACCATTAGAAGAAACTTTTGTATGTTTTTATTTAGAGATAAATGTTTCTATCACGTTTTTGTGAGAACTGATTTAATTTTTTGAAAATACGTTTGCTAAAATATTGAAATTGTAAAGTTTCAATTGAAATTGTTAAGTTTCAATATTTTAGCAAAGTTGGCTTAATGAATTGTGTCAGTAACTCTATCGTTGCTAAATATTGATTTTTATCATCTGCAACTTGTTTTAATGGAAATCACCACTTACACCTAGTTTATTTAATATTACTACAAATGCCTACAAATTTTATCATGCGATGAAAATAAAATATCTAAACTTTTTCTTATTATATTTTTCTCTAGGCGTGAATCACTTTTTTGAACCTGACGCGCCCTTATCTTTTATCTACGCACGTAAAATCCTAAAAAAAGATACAAATGCTTTCTGTACTTTTCCAGAATTAGAAACATTACAAAAAATATTCATAAAAAATATCGGCTCGATTTATCAAAACGACGTTTTTTGTTAACTGAATTTTACTGACTTAGTGCCTATCGCTTGTGCTTTGAAATATAGAAATAAGATTAATTGCCAAACTAAATTTTAATATTAGTTGATGATTTTTAATATTTAGTTGCGATAAGATCTCTTTTGAATTTGATGTGAAATGAAGCACTGGATGTTTGACATTGAAATTGTATTCTGAATTTAATCCGAAATTTTAGAAACATAAAAAACTTGTAATTTCGTTTTTTAGAATCTCATATACATTTTTGAACACATTTTATTTTATTTTGTGACTTACAACATCTAAAATTTATATAAAATGATAAATGTAGAATATTTTCAAAATCTTGAATATAAATGAACAAAATTCAACAATTTCAAATAAATTCTTAAATTTTTTTTTCACGAAAACTACAAAAAAATATTTTTTTGCAATTTGTTGAGATATTTAAATTTAATAATTTTAAGCGTTTTGAAAATTTTCACTATTTTTGATTCTCTTAATTTTGATTCATATTTATTCCGAATATTTCGAACATTTTGAAAAATTGTGTACACATTGAAATATGTAGAACTTATTTTTTTTAAATAATACGAAACTTTTTAAAATATTGAATTTCTCATTTTTTTAAATCTTGAAATTACCCTTTTTCAAATCTTGAAATTCCCCTTTTTGAAGTTTTTATACATTTTTTTCTAAACTCTATAATTTTTTTTGAACTGCATGAAATTTTAAGAACACTACTTTTTTCAACTATAAATTTATGAACTTTCTGAAACTTTACGCTCTGAAACTTTCAGAGTTCACTTTATGAACTCTCTGAAATTTTTAAACACTGTGAATTTTTATGAACTCTCTGAAACTTTATGAAATCTCAAACTTTATGAACACTCTGAAACTTTATGAACACTCTGAAACTTTATGAAATCTCAAACTTTATGAACTCTCTGAAACTTCATGAACTCTCTGAAACTTCATGAACTCTCTGAAACTTCATGAACTCTCTGAAACTTCATGAACTCTCTGAAACTTCATGAACTCTCTGAAACTTTATGAACCCTCTGAAACTTTATGAACCCTCTGAAACTTTATGAACCCTCTGAAACTTTATGAACCCTCTGAAACTTCATGGACTCTCTGAAACTTCATGGACTCTCTGAAACTTCATGGACTCTCTGAAACTTCATGAGCTCTCTGAAACTTTATGAACCCTCTGAAACTTTATGAACCCTCTGAAACTTCATGGACTCTCTGAAACTTCATGGACTCTCTGAAACTTCATGGACTCTCTGAAACTTCATGAGCTCTCTGAAACTTTATGAACCCTCTGAAACTTTATGAACCCTCTGAACCTTCATGAGCTCTCTGAAACTTCATGAGCTCTCTGAAACTTCATGAGCTCTCTGAAACTTCATGGACTCTCTGAATTTTAATGATCTCGTTAAAATTAAATAAAATGTATGAACACTATGAACCTTTCGTAAAACTTTTTGAATTCTACTATATTTTTCATTTGATATGAATTTTTTTGAACATTGTGTCATTATTTAATATTATTGAAATTTTTTGAACCTCACAGAACGTTCCGAAAACTTGAACTTTTTTAACCCCATCAATTTATTTTTTCAAAGTCTATGAAAGCTTATGAATTTTACGAAACAAAATTTTATGAACTTTATGAAAAGTTTGAAAACTATGTAACCTTTTGAACCCAGTGAAGCTTTTTGAGCCCTATGAAACTTTTCGAACCCCATGAAAGATTTTGAACTCTATGAATCGTTTTGAACTCTATGAATCGTTTTGAACTCTATGAAACCTTTTGAACTCTATGAAACTTTTTGAACTCTATGAAATTTTTGAACACAATAAAACTTTTTGAACCCAGTGAAGCTTGTTGAACCCCATGAATCTTTTTGAACCTTATGAAATTTTTCGAACCTCATAAAACTTTTTGAACTCAATATTGAACTCTATGAAACCTTCCGAACTCTGTTTAAATATTTTAATCTCTGTAACATTTTTAAAACCATTTGTATTTTTTTAGAAAATTAAAAAGAATTCAAATCAATAAATTTACTTAGTTCTAAAATTTACCTTAATAAGTAATAAATTCTACTATAATTTCGATTCCATCCAAAGTTTCCTTCACATGATCAAAACTGGTCACCAACCCCTGTTCCACACTTCTTCAAGTGCTAGTTGCATTAATAGATTTCTTTAAAAAAATTATAGGAAAAAAATCTTATCTAACTCTCAAAGCTAGCTCTCCATTACCTAAAAAACATTTTAGTACTGAAAACCAATTTTGATAAGAACTACTCGTGTCTCTTAAAATTCACAGAGTCTTTATAAGTGATCGAAAAATGTATTCGATGTTTTTGTATGAATTTCTGTAACGAGTACGGTAATAAAGTCTTCGGAGATACCTGAATGTTTTGTATTTAAAGGTGGAATGATATGTGAAGCAGCTCATTCAGTTTTGGGACATCCAACAAGTTAAAAGTTTTATTAATAAACCATAAAAAATAAAAAAATAAATAACTATTAATAATATTTTAATCAATCAAATCCTAAACTGAATCGCTTTAGATTTTTTTTTTATTGCACAAATACCTCAAAGTGCAAATTTGTTAACAAAGTGTACATTAAATATTTATTTTAATTAATGAATTAAACAAAATTTTCATTAATTCAATTATAATTCTATTCTTGCTATATTTCTTATGTAAATATAAGAAAGTGCAAAGTTAAAAGAGTTGATCAACAAATATTTGGATATTTTTGTTTCGAATGTTTGCAGAATTAATTTACAAGTGTTTTTAGTGTTAAATTTGTGTAATTTTTAACACGAAAATCTAAATAAATAATAAGTTTGTTTATTACAACTGTGATATTGTTTAATTTAATTATCGATTATTTAATTAGTTAAGTTTTTAAAATGTTGACGGGATGGAGGAAAACGGTTTCTCGAAGTAAGTATAAAAGTTTTAGTATGGTGAATTTTTTTATGATTTATTTTTAAAAAAGTTACCGCGACGTTATTTGATATATAATTAAAAAAAATAATAACGGTTTTATTAATTAATTAATTAATTTGATACTTTAAATAAAGGTGGAACCAATTTTTTATATTTAAAAAAATAATTAATTAATTCACAAGTGTTTCCAGTATTTTTTAACAAAAAATTTAAATAAGTTTGTTATCACAACTGCGATGCTTTTTTTATTTTTTGAACATTTAAAGTTTATTAAAATGAAATAGATTTTTTGTTTGTTTATATTATATTTAGCTTGAAAATTAAAAGTAATTTTTAAAACGATTTATAATATTTTACATCAATATTTTGGATTTTTTACTGTATGTCAGTCGTGATTTGATATTTTATGAAAAAAATTTAATAACGATTTTATTAATTAATATGCAATGCAATTCAGTAAGCACTTATCAAATTTGATACTTTAAATAAGGGTGAAACCGATTTTTTCATATTAAAAAAAAATAATTCAGTATTTTTAACAAAGAAAGTTAAATAATTTAGTTATCAGAACTTTGATATTTTTTATTAATGTTTGTATTATATACAGCTTGAAAATTAAAGTATTTTTTAAAACGATTTAAAATATTTTACATCAATGTTTTGGATTATTTACTGTGTGACGTCAGCTTTATTAAAAAAAAATCATTATTTTAAAAATTTATAATACTTTAAGTTATGTGTGTTTATTTTGGCCTTGTATATTGAAGAACTAAAATTTTTATATCATTTGGTTCGATTATATGCCTTAAATATACACACAACCATACTCATTTTTAATTCAAAGAATTATATAATCTAGTGAGATTATATTAAAACATTTTTAATTCGAATAAGTTGAAGTTTATGTAGAAAGAGATGTATTCTATATCCCTTAAAAATTTTGTAGATACTAAAAATATACCAACTAGAATAAGACAACCATTGGGTTGCTTTGTAAGAGAATTTAGCAATAAAAAGTCATATACAGACTATGGAGCACTAGAGATTATAAAAGGCTAAATTATTATTAAAAATATTGTATTCCATGCGGAAAAGTACTTGTAGGACTTTTAGCACCTTTTATGAAGAAAAATTGTAGAGAATAGACAGATATTGCATAGAATATAATTATTGCAGTAGGTAACTAAATGCTCAAAGTTAGCAAGGCTATTAAAAAAAATAAAAATAAAAAAATATTAAGAAATGATCTGATGAATACGAAGCATATATTCTAATCATTTTCTTTAAATTTTCTTAATAAAAGTATATCAAAACTAGAATAGGACAACTATGAGAAAAATATTTTTTATTCTATAAGTAAATAATTTTATCTTGTAGTATATCATTTATTTTTGCACAATCTATTTAGAAATTCGCCCGCAGCAACTATATTGTGTTTCGATAGATACAAAATCGATATTTCAATCATTTCCTTTTCCTGTAAAATGTATTTAACTAAAAGAACACTAATACTGAATATAGTGTGCTTATTAAAACATTGATTTAATTTCTGTGTTAATGCCGGTAATTGTCGAGAGTGAAAGTACGGTATGCTATATAATCATTTATATGAGAACTTCCTTAAAAAATATTGTAAATGGTAATTTAATTTTACATGCAATTGTAAATGCACTTTGGTAGATATCGAGGTAGATTTTATAATAGATACTATATTTCTTGAAGCAAATCTATTTTGAATAGTAGAGAAAAAGAACTGAATAAAACGTAATTTTTATAATATTAAATTAATCATTATCACGTTAATAATTCCAAAATTATTTTTTTATATCAATTCATTATACGTAAAAAATAATATTTTTTCTTTTTTGAGTATGACATTGATTAGAAACAATAATTTGTATGAAGAGTCAAACTGGTACTGGAAACGCACCTAAGATTTCTTTAAATTTGCTTAAACAAAATATAGATTTTTTCCAACTTGCTTGAACAAAAGCATATATTTTTATTAACTTGCCTAAACAAAACATAGATTTTCTTTCTAATAACTGGATAGATGTGTAGAGTACCCTTTACAAAAATGTTGGGGTCACCAATTATGGACTGTTACATGGTCTATATAAATCAATAAAAATAAAATAATTTGATTTTATATTTAAATATTACATATTCAAAAACACATCCAAAAGTCCAGTTATATCTTTTGCAATAATATTTGCAATAGAAAACTAGAGTTCTTTTTTTGCTCTTGGATTGTTTTTGCTTTTGGATCATGTAAATATATGTTGTAAATTTAAATTTATAGATTGCTATTTAATTAAATTATTCATAATTTTATAGAGTACTCTATACAAATGTCGTTTTAAAAAAATGCTTAACCATAATTTTATATTTCTTGCTATCTGAAATGCTATTTCTATTCTCTATTTTTTCAATAAACTCCTTGTTAAAACTTAATCTTTTGACAAAACACCGTATAAAATCGATTTCATGCAACATGTTAAACTAAAAAAAATATATTGTTTATACCTATTTATTTATAAATCTACGATGCAATTCTCAAGCCATAATATTTAAACTTCAATGTTCATAAATATCACACAATTTTTTTTACAAAAATCGACAAGTAACGACCTTAATTAATCATCTCAAATCGATTTATAAAATCATTTTGTATAAATGTAATTGTGTGGTTTTCTAATTAATTATCAACAAATCGAAAACCTTGTACGGAATCGACAGAAATTTGTCAAGCGTTAAATTAATTATAATACTTATTTTCAAGCTCGGATTTTTTATGTAGCTGTAAATAGTTAGATAATTTATAAAAAAATACAAAAAAAAATTGAAATTTGTCATTTAAGGAAACGGAAGTAGGACAGGAACAACTTTTTTTTACAAAAATTGCATTGAAGTTCATACATACATTCACTCTATCTGAAATAGGAAGAAATATTTTTTAAAGTAAAATATGCCTTATTTTACTATTATTAATTATATATAAATTATCTAAATTTGATATTTTTTAAAAATATATCTACTACTGACTACTAGTCCTTCTTTCAACTTCAGAACAATTTATTTATAAGATAACTAATGAATATAATATTTTATGAGTAAATATGAGTATTTTATGAGTCAGATTTACGTGAACTAGTGTAAAATAATTTAAACATGTTTTTGTTGAATACTTTACAAATCTTCCAAAAATTGTGCTTAAAAAACTATGGAAATGTTCGGCAAAAAATTATTTGATTTAGATTTTTCTCTATACAATTTTGTCTCGTATATTTTTGTCATCTAATTCAATTTCAGAATTTATCTATTACACAAATTATCTTAGTAATTATCTCGTACTATCAATAATGAGTTGTGCTAATATGTGCACATACATTTATGAATAATTTATCTAATGCTTTTCATGTTTGTTTTTTGTGTTATAATGGTCACGGTTTGACAATTATAGAATACTATGGCTTATAAGCAGAAAATCTTATAATAAATATTTATTTTCATATTTGAGATAAAAGTATCAAAAATTATCTAATAATTTTCAATGATGATTCGTGGTTCATCAAGTTTCTCTTTAGCACTTTGAATTTTTATTCCTTATTATAATTGTTTCATTTAAAAGAATTTTTTATTAGAAGTGTTATACTTTCAATACTTTATATCACAACAATAATTTTTGTACACTAATTTTTTTTTAATATGACATTTTTTCTAAATAATGAGAATAATGAATTTTTGCAATTAGTCCAAAATTGTGTACGTTTATTTTTTCTTCTATACTTTTTTTACCTATGCAAACGAAATGATGAACTTTGAAAACATTATTTTATACATGTTTTTTATTAATGTCACACATTTTACAAATATTTATGAAAAAATAATCAATATTTACACAATTGATTTTTTACGTCAATTGAATGTCGGGATTATATTCTATATTTTTTTATATATTTATATTATTCAGTAAATATTTATTCTTTTAAATTGATTTTCAATGGACAGGGTTTGTGGTATGAAAGTCATTTTTCTTTCTCTTTGCTAACAATTAGTAAGTTAACATTTTTCAAAAATTATATTTAAAAATATAATTTTTGAAGAATAAATAAATATTGCATTGCAGCATGATATCATATTAATAGTTATTTTCAAGGAAATCATATCAAAAGTTATTTTCATGGATATAATGGTGAAAGATTTCTAGATAACTGTTAATTTTTTTTAATTCATCAACATGAGCTCTAATTGCTAATTTTATTTTTAAGCATGCTATTTTTTGTACCAGTCGAATATTTTATAGAGAATAAGTCAATTTTTACATAAAGTTCGAAGAAGTAAAAATTGTAGAGTATTTATTTTCTCAATTGTACCCAACTTTCCGTGTTTAAACAAAATGTGATTATTTTTAATATTTTCATTTACGTAAAAATAAATCAATTTTTATACGCATATGGGCACTATCATGTATATTATTTGCATGTTTAAAATATGCGTGTTCAAATTACATAGTGTCAATTCTATTTCATGCAAAATATTTACGGTTCGTCAACTGGCGAAATAATAACAAAAATAGTTTGTATATTTAAAATTTTCACACATTTTTCAAAATTTTAAATATTATTTTAAATTTGATTACTTAATTCTTACACTTACTTATAAATTCAGAGCATATCAGAAACAATATCAGAAAAGAAGTTTTAAAATGTATATTTGCAATAATAATTTTCACCAGAAGTTTTTGAACAAAATATATTTTTTACGAAATAATTTCATGTATGAAATATTATCCAATAAAATAAATCTGTTTTTCCTTACAAATTTCCTTTTTTTTTCTTAAATTTAATTTCAATATCTGTTCCAACTACTATAAATAATATAATATCTAGTAACGTAAGTGAATAATAACATAAATATAAATGAAATAGAGTACAAAATAAAAGATAGTATTTTCATTCAAATGATATCCGTATTATGATGATTTAATATAA